AAAAAAAAATGCTTACCCGATATTTTCAAGATCATTGTTTGTAGGGTTTGTAGGGATTTTGCAACAAAGTTTTCATTGTGCTAGTATCTCAGCTAGAACATAACAGTTATTCTCTATTTTGCTTCATGGATATAGTGCCTTTGACACAAATAGGTTGTCAATCTCAAACCCAATTTTTCGATTGGAAGCCCACATGCACCACACCACACCATATGCTCGCACTGTAACCAACATAGGTTCCATTTCTGAAATAAAAATATGGCATTTTAAAATCTTGTTAAATGTTCTTTAAAACCACTATTTAGGTGTGTGTTATGATGTAATAAATGATATGATATGGACCTGTTCAAATGATTGGGTTGATCAGTGGTACAATCCTGGGCTTAGGGCCCCTCACCATGTCCACCGTCAACTTGGAGTGGAACCTCCAACTCAACAGCAGCCACCCTCAGGTAAGTCTGTTATATCATCATTTACAGTACATATATTTCTATAATTACTTTGTCACTGGCTAGGAGTGTATGGAAATACAGTGTACTTATATTCTTCCCTGAGATCTACTGTATTATTCAAAATTGTAGAGACCAATTCTTTTCATTGCATTGCAATTTTTTTTTTTGTAGTTTAGTATTTGTTTCTTTTTTTAAAACTTGATTGTTGTTGTTGAACTTAGCAAGAAAAGCATCCATTCTCATTAATGAATTATTGAACCTTCCAGAAGATACATTACCAATATCAGAAGTAATCAGTCAACTGCTTCTCCATATCGGAAGTACCTGCTGTCACAAGGCTCATAGTGATCTTCTGATGACATCTCTTGGACGGATCCTGCTTGGACAGCAAGCGGTAGACATGCCATTCCTGATTAGGGTTCAACAGATCTTGAAGATTGCTCTGGACAATAAAAACATGCAAACGGCTCAATGTATGTTGATGGTTTTACAAGTGGTCATCAAGTCATCCATGTTTAAGAGGAAGAGTGATGTGGAGATTGAACTTCTGCAAAAGAACAGAGCAGCTCTCTGGCACATCTTGACAGCCAAGGATGACCACATTACGGAAGGAGCACAGCAGGAAGCCTGTCTTGTTCTCAGGTTAGAGCTTTGATCAAACTTTAGTTCTGGTAAATTAGTTTACATGAGCTTGTTCTTATTAGAATTGAACCTGTCGGAGCCTTTATGTATTTTTACAATAAGTTTGCTCACTTAAAATATGCTATGTTGTTAAAATGATTAAATAATACGAGTTGTTAAATTTGGTTTGATGGCAATGAGTTATGGAGTTTGCTGGATATCCAGGATGCCATTTTACACATGCACCAAGGATTGTCAGTAGAAAATATATCACTGCACTTGTAGGTGCAATCCCATTCACAAAAATCTCAATATGAGGTTTAGGAAGTAGAGTTGTTTTGGTTGTGTGAAAAATTCCTGTAACACTGACAGGAATTGAACATAGGCCCCTGGTATTGGAGGGTGAGCATCTTAACCGCCAAGCTGTTCAACTCCAACCTACAGCTTCAGGCCACACAAATGAGTTTAATCCAAAAAAATACCTATTTACCATTAATTTGCTTGATGTGTTTTTGATTAATGATGTACCACTTCTGTCATTTGCCATCAAGCAAATTTTTGGACAATGTATTTGGTGGTCTTTCTTTTTTTTGGATTGTTTACTTCACATTTCCTTTATATTTATATATTATTATATAAATGAAAAGACATGCAAATAGGATAGACCCGTAACAGATACCTTAAACTGACAATGGAATGTACCACTTCTGTCATTTGCCACCAAGCAAATTTTTGGACAATGTATTTGGTAGTCTTTCTTTTTTTGGATTTGTTACTTCACATTTCCTTTATATTTATATATTAATATATAAATGA